AAAAGTAAGTATTTTTCTTATTTATTTTTTATGTTTTATCAGTATATAAAATATTATTTCACGAAAAATTATATATAATCTAGACTAACACTATAAAGGGTTGGGTGTGGGAGTGCGAGAGGGGACATGGGTGTTTGGTGGCGGACCTCGAAAACAATAATAGTAGTATACCAGTTACGAAACTTGTTTTTTTAATTTTCTCCCACGAAAAATTATTTTTAGCAACCAAATATGAAAAAATAATTAATATTTCCCCTCCATATATAGAAATACAACCAAATTAAGTGGATGAAGAATAGTTTTATAATAGGGCAAACCACATAAATCCCACTAGTTTAGGTCTTAATTATTAAGATTCCCAATAGTTTCAAATATTACTTCATGTACCACATTTTATGCTTAGGATACATGAGTCTGAATCCATGAGACACATGTATCTGCCGAATTTTAAAATTGAGATACAAAATTTGTTTATTTAAATTAATTGTTTGGAACTAATTTCCTTAATTAGAGGAGTAATTGAGGATTTTCAAAATACATAGATAATTAATTTCATTTTATTATTCTTTAAAATAGTAAATTCATTAATATTATTAATATAAGATAAAAACATGTATATCTTGGTAATGCAATTTGATTAATTTCAAATTATTACTCTTAAAATAATAAATTCATTAATTTGATGTATCTATTATCAATATATGATGTATCCAACAAATTAAACACTTAGATACATGAGTGTCCTGCAAGTACATTCATATGTATCATAGAAGTATCTAGCATTAATTTCATGTATTTGTTATAGGTATCTAGTATTGATATTATGTATCTATCTATCTATCTATCTATATATATATATATATATATATATATAAAATATTATAATTTCATGTATCTTTTATACGTATCTAGTATTAATTTGATGTATCAAGTATCAATTGCATATGTTATATCCAAAAACATGTATCACGAATACATAGTAAGCATATACATCTAATTATGTGTATCTAAATATGAAATATACAAAAAGATAAAGCATATACATTTAATTATGTGTATTTAATTTTCATACTTTATATCCAAAAACATGTATTTCGAATACAAAATAAGCATATACATTTAATTATGTGTATCTAAATATGAAATGTAGCTGAAACACATGAATTTAGGAACAAATCACGACTGTAGAGTATCTATCGTATCATTAATATCATCGTATTGTTAAAAATCATGTATCCGAAATTTAATGGTGGATACATATACATGGTCAGACACCCCATTACTAAAAATACAACTTAGATCTTAATTAAGATTACTACATATTGGATACACATGTTTCAAGGGCTATATCAAAGTAATGTTGGTACTACTAAATCCATGTCACGGTAACCAAAGAAAGCCTTAGAAGAACACCAACAAACAAAACTCTCTACAATACTCCCTTTGATCCTTTTGCGTTGTGGTATAACATAATCAAAACTAAGATCCATTTCTTTCGGAGACAAACAATCAAGACACACTCTGAATTAAAGTTTTCTCTGTAGCAGTTACTTTGATTTGATCTAGTTATAAATGAACAATACAAAATAATATTTGAGTTCAGGAGAATTTGTCGGTCATGGTGATGATATCTTGAGAAGAAGAGAGTAGATTAGCTATTGTTGGAATGAAATTGTACGATGAAATTCTTGAATCAAAAAGGAGGAGACATAATTGAGTAATAAATATGGGAGGGGAGAATTAAGAGATAGTGGTTGATTTGGAGTGAAAGAGTTAATTAAGCAGATAATTAATTAATCCTAGTTTTAAGATATGTGGGTATCTAATAATCTAATTGTATCTTCAAATAATATATTAATATATGATATAAAATATTAAAAGTGGTAATATATGTAATTATTTGAAAGTAAAGATAATATTAGTATATATAGTAGTGATGTATGTCTAATAAGGTAGTTTATCCTTTATAATAACCCCTGTGGGATATAATGTATGTATATTGTGATCTCTTTCTCTCTTTATGAGAAATGAAATTCTTCTTGATAATTGAACATTTACCTTCTTAAATATTAATGTATGACTTCGAATACTCTGAATAATCTGAATGTTACTACTACATATTAATAAAAGAATTTTTTAAATTTTCTTTAAAAAATTATTGTGTCATTTTTCTCGAAAGTAAATTTGGAATCGATAAAAAATCGAACGGATATTTAAGCTATTGTGTTATTAAATGAGATATTATATACTCCGTATTAAGTTTGTTGAATGAGAGTGGAAATGATCACAAAAACTACAATAATTTGTTTAAGTTAGTTATAAAGAGACGGGCCTTTCTGAAGTGAGTGAGCCCACGTACAGATTTGCTTGGGGTATAGATGATTTATATGCATTGGGGCAAAATGCACTATTTAGAACCTCTATCTATTTAAAGAATAGCCAAGACTTTTAAAGTTTAACCACTTATAAACAACTTCAGACTCGCGAGACTGAAATCGAGAATCACTTTCATGAAGCTTGAAACTCCACACATATGTATCTAAAGTTATCGGCAACTAGGGTGTGAAGTTGGCATATCACAAGTATAGTTCAAACTTCAAATATCTGGTTTGAAGTTGAAGTTAGGTTTGAACTTTGAAGTATAGTACGCACAATCATTTAATTATTAATAGTGTCTTTTTTATCAACTACAACATGGTTAAGCAATGTATTAATGTTTTAGTAGGGTGATAATATTATTTCTCTTTGTGTACATATATTCTTCAACCTAAACTCTAGATAATTTTGTGTCACAATCCAATTTCAATGCATTGACAGCAGATCACAAAACGAAACTAAAATATAGTCAAAAAAAGGACCAGAGAGAGAATAAATGTTTGATTTGAATGCCTTTCATATTTATAAATATAGTACTTTTTTTACCCAATTTAATTACCTGGTATTATTTGAATTTCGAAAGTCAAATAAATACTACTTTTTTATCAAAATATTTCATTAACTTTTCAACTATCTTAAATTATTAATTATCATAAATTATACTAGTATTTAATTCTATGTAATTTTTAAATATATAAATTTCTCTTTCAATAACCAAAAAAATTATATTTTGTTGGTCGTTTAAGGAAAAGGCAAATGGTATTTAAAGGAACAGACAAGACACAGAAGCAGAATCAGATTTAGAAGTTTGGGGGTTCTAAAGTTTAGGATGAAAAATATTGCAAAACATGCTTCCTTTAAAAAGGAAAAGAGAATTTTTTGTTGATAGTGGAGTTCGAACCCACAAGACTAGTGTGAAAAATATTTTCACCACCCTTACTTACCACTGAGTTATCAATCAATTTTGTTAGGGTTCACAAGTTTATATATATAATTTTTTAATACAAATATAGGAACTATGGAAAAGCTAATGGATTCGCCCGAACCAATGAACTCCCACCTAACTCCGCCTCTGACAAGATATGATTATCGTTTAGATGTAGTGTAGAATGAGTTTGTCTTTACTGAGACCTTTAGGCTCTAGTAATCTCTTGCAGGTGAGTTTTTCCGTAAGTAATGAGAAGTAAATCGATATAATCAAAACAATTTATCTTTTCACTATTAAAAGGATTTGAATAAACGTTTTAAGGTATTGGCACAATTGAAGTGACTAGACGAGCATTGAATTTGTCATTAACATATGTTTAAAAAGTAGCACATTTGTACTTGTAGCCATCAATGGAATTATTGGAACTACGAGGCCTTGTTGGTTAATTCTCATCCATAGAAATATTAGACACAAAAACAAACTAATTATTACCATATCTTTTTTATAAAGGGATAATCTTTTAAGTCTATCTTCAAAATGTTTTTATTCTTATTTTAGTATTATTAATCAAACATGAAATGGAGCCCAAAGAAACCTTAGGAATAGTTGATTGTGTCTTTGTGTTTTTGGTTAACATTAAATAGATTATATATGCATCAATAATTACATGTTAGTGAACGCGACTCTATTATATTTCTTTCATCCATTGAAGGTCTATTAGTAATAACTTATGGATAGGGATAAAGTCTTACTTCTACCTTATTCAAATTAGACTTATAAAACTACACTAAAATATATTATTGTTATTGCTATAGTAAAAGCTTTATCACGCCCAAGTTATTCATTACTATATGATAAACGCATATTAATATTACATGCTAATTAAAATGTATCTTTCCAAATATGTTCCTAGAACGTTTGCTTGGGTAGCTTAAAAACTTTCACCTTTCTTTCATGCTTTTCGTTAGTCAACAACCAATCAAAGTGTTTTATACCTCTCCATTACTCATACAAGGAAGATGGAAAAAAATCCAATCTCTATTCTTTTGGGAGCAAAACTCGTACGGACAGAACATATGATCTAACTATATAACTTCTTTTTTTTCATTATTAATATAATCGTGCCTTGTGACATGATAACACTCAGTAAAATAGTTCGTCGGTAAAAATATTTCCGCAAATGCCCTTTTCCCAATGGTACTATATTTTCTACTCCCATCCCTTCATGCTATTGGATTTCAAGTTTTGTGCTTTAATAATATATAACTCTTTATATTGTTAGGTTATGTTTACTTATAACAAGTAAATTTTTATAGCAAGACTGATATAATAATTTTAGAAATAATTATATATATATATATATAAAATTAATAAAATATTCACACACTTGCACACTAAATCGTGTGAGATAAATGCTGCCAGCATGGAAATGAATTAGACTTATTTAGACATATATAATAGATAACAGCTATTAAAGCTAAATTTTCACCAAAATACGTGTGCAATTTCTGTCATATATATAAAATATCATGCCACTTAATACAACAAAACTAATAAAACCTTTATAACAACCCACCCACGAAATGCCCACGCTTTAGCTTTCTCTTAGCAAAAATATATATATACACACTCTTAATATATAAGTAGTAAGAATCACATTGACACATAACACATACAATTGTTCACACAAAATTATATATATTGTCAGTGTATATAAATTACAATTCTATATATAGACATATCAACACATACATATATATACTCGATCCTTCACATAATCACGTCTAGCCAATGATCAAAAGCAAATTCAAAATTTGAATTTTATGAGTTCTGGTGATCCCTTATTTGCTATCGAACCTACAATCCATTTATGCAAGTTACTGAGTTCAACACATACACAAAGTCTGAACCAAAGTTACAGAAATCAACTCAATACCAACTATCACTAATACACATATGATCAAGTACATTACGTTGTCAGGATATATAAGTTAAATTTTATATACATGACTGACGCTTCACATGCTACGAAGTCAAGAACAAATACCAAACATCCTATATACCGTGGTATACGATGTAGAAGTGGGAAATGGGTGTGTGAAATTAGAGAGCCACGTAAGACAACAAGAATATGGTTAGGTACTTACCCTACACCACAAATGGCTGCTGCTGCCTATGATGTTGCTGTCTTAGCTCTTAAGGGAACTCAAAATGTTGTACTCAATTTTCCTCATCTTGTTGATTCATATCCAAAGCTCCCTCCCTCACCATCTCCGGCCGATATACAACGTGCCGCGGCCACCGCGGCTGAGGCAATGGCCTCGCTAGGCGACGATGATGATCGGTCGTTGGAAAGTAGGGATGGAGCTATATGTAACGAAAGGGGTTCAACTGAATTTCCTTCATCGTCAGGAAATTATGATATGCAAATAGGTAAGTACAAATATGTAATATATACTTCCTCCTTTTTTTCATTTTATGTCGCGATATTTTATTATGCATGAAATTTAGCAAAGGTAGCTAAAATATTATTTTAGGTCATGATTCAACTATTCATGTGTCACATTCTTTCATATATATTAAAAATTTTATATTAAAATTTCTGACTTCGCAAGGGAATACACAAACGACGGCGGGTGAGGAGGAATACGTTGATGAGGAAGCATTGTTTGAATTTCCAAGTTTGCTTGTGAATATGGCTGAAGCAATGATGCTAAGTCCCCCAAGAATAAACTCGTTTCCATCGGAAGATTATTCATCAGGAGACTTTGATGCTGAAAGTCTTTGGAGCTATTAACGACTAACGAACAGAGACGAATTTAAAATTTAGAGTTAGTGAATAATAATTTCGTTTGTAGGCACAAGTTAGTAATATATATGTATAATAATTCAAGAGGAAGCTGTATATAAATTCATATGGTCATTTTAATTTCATAGAAATCGTGCGTACTACATTAAAAATAACTTTTACCGATAATAAATATGTATATTAACAAAGAGTGCTAAAGTCTAAAGTCTTTACTGGTATTAGTTAATTACAATTGGATCCAATATCATCATAGGATTTTGAGATATTTACAAAGAGTGTTAATTGACTAAAAGAAACACATTTATAAGTGACAATTAAGCTATTGTCATTAATTAATTGTCGCTCAAAATTATTTTCAATATTGTGATGGCTTCTACTTATATGTCACTAAACCAATTGAATCCTGACATACGAATAGGTACTAAAGGAGATTGTTGTGATCATTATTGTATTTGTATCAAAGAGAAAATAAATTTTACACTACGAAATTGACCACCTAAAGAATAATTACCAGTAATAGTTCTGAACATTTTTTTTAATTGTGAATCTATCGGAAATAACATTTTTATTTTTAAATAGAAATAAAATTGTATACATCCTTTCTGAATCTCACTTGGTGGAATCGTTATTATTGATTTTATAGTAATAATAAATATAATTTACTATAAGTGAAAGTAGTAATAACTTAAAAATAATAAAATCATCTTCTAATATATAAAAACAAATAGTTATGGTGACAAGACAGATTTTATTTAAGTACATAAAGACATGAGGGCCATCAAGAACATAAAGAGGTTTTGCTTTTTTTTTCTTTTAATTAATGAAAACGTGGTTAAACCCAAGTGTTGTGGTGGCTTTGTCGGTCTGCTTGTTGAAGTTGTGATAAAATGAATTTGATGATTTTTTAATTTTTGATTCGAATTTTATGATAAGAAGAAAATTGTTGAAAGCGTCGCGTACCTCGTATGAAAAAAATCTCCGTGAAATTAACTTGAACGAATGAGGAATCAGGAATTTTGATCACTTACCAAATGAATATCAAAAAATATGATATTATTTTATCTTTTGAAAAAAAAAAATCTGAAGATATTTTTTATATAAATTTTTTTTTATAAATAACCTAAAAATATAATTCTCCCTAAATGAACTCTAATATGTGTCTGTAGTGATTATATAATTAGAGATATTCAAATGATATTTTAAAAGTGATTTGTATTAAAAATACATACTCATTAATTAATTAATTAAATAATGACAAGTGGTTTCATAGTTAACATCCAAACATATTAATTAAGCAATCATGACACTTATCATGATTAAAGATCATTTTTAATCCAATAAATAGCTAATTATGATAATAATTAGGATAATATCTAACACGACTTAATTATTATTTTTAATCATTTTACAAGTAAATACTATTTTTAATATTTTCCTTTATATCCCAAATTCTATGGGACTAACCTAACGTTAGTCCTATTAAATACCCGATTTTATAAATATTTTTTACGTTATCAATATACAAAATTTAAAATAAATTTTTTATCCTATTAAAAAGTTCTTGTCATCAAAATAGGAGGAGGGAGGGGGACCAACTAATGCAGGGAAGAAAATTATCTGATTGAAATAACATGTTTGGTATTGAGGAGATGTTGATGTCTAAATTTAACTTTCGATCTCTCCATGAATTCGAAATGTTTGAAATTTTTTCGTATGTATTAGTTCATAATTTTTTTAAATTGTGTAACCGACTCAGTCTGAACTTAAATTTTGTTAGTTCATGTGATAAAGACCTATTTAATGATAGACCGTATGACCAACACTCTTTAGGAGACTTGCAAAAAAGAACATGGTATGATTATATATTGTTAGATAATAATCATCAAAACTCAAATTCAACACCACTCCACAACTTTGTTGTTACTATAGCTAATCATCTCATAACTAACATAACCTTTTAATATTTATCATCACTCTGTTGCTTAATAAGTGTACTTGATGTAAATCACAACGCGTTCCTTGCTTTAAATCTCTCCCATACTCAAATGATTACAATTATTCTCTATGTTACCAAGAATATTAACATATTGTAAGATATAATTTTAACATAACATACTAATTAATTAATCCACTTAATATACAAATAACTTCTTTTCTTTTCCTTTTTTTGTAAGATTACGAATTCATAAATTTAAAATTTTAATTTCGTCACGTGAGTAACTTGCTATAGTGAGAACAGAGGGAAAAAATGGACAATATGGAAAAAGACGTGAGAAAGAGAAAGGAAGTCGGCCATATATATATTGTACTAAAAAGTAAAGTCAAACTTTTATTTAGACATTGAACAAATATATAAAGTATTGCGGCTTCTCAAAAGATATGATTTAGATTTTTGAAAGTGAAATATATTTAATAAAAAATTGTACAGCTATAAGAAAAGACATATCATTGTCTCTTTGACTATTTCATCAATATTATCAAAAACTAGGTTTGTCAAATGAGTCGACATAGGAACATACTTTTTAGGGTATGCTCGGTAGAAAGGAAAATATTTTTTAGAAAAATGAATCGATTGTTTATTTATATTTAATATGTAAATTATTAAAAAATAATTACTTAAAATTAGATAAATATTATGAAAGACACAAGTGAAATAAGAGTACTGTGGGATGATGGGGATGGAAGATACATACATGAGGGAGGGTGAAGATCGATGAGCAGATGTGTGGAAGTGGAGAGAAGTATATAATCAATGTACAATGACATTTTGGGATGAAATGTTATTTATAAACTTGTTTTTCGATAAGATAGGGTTGCTTGAATAATAAGCACCACTCACTTTCAATTTTGAGTTGTGAGTTTGAGTCATCAAAAAAACTAGTGAAAAGGTAGGAGTTCACAGGGAGGGAGGGAGGGGTAAAAAATATAAATTAAAAAGAAGTTGTTATCTTTATTATTTCTATAGACAATATTTATTTCTCTCATTATTAAAGAATTTATTTTTCTTAAGAAATAATTTCTTATATAATCTTATAACTTTAGTTTTGTTAGAATAGTGATGGTGTCAAAATTTTTATTTAAAGACAAGTTATATTCTCTATGTTCAATTAGACAAATTAGAGCAAGACTTCTTTGGGGAATACATAAATTTTAAAAAGATAGTAATAAAGAGAAATAGCAAACTGACTATGCAGAGTGAGCTACCTGCTTATTCCCCTGGCCGCCTCTTCTTCATTTAATATATACTATATGCTCTTTATTATTATTTAAAAAAAAAAAAAAAACACTGCTACATGCTGCCTCTTCTTCATCCAATTAAAAAATGGAAAAAAACATGCTTTATGCTGCCTCTTCGAAAACTGTGGAATTCATTTAAAATTTCAATTGTAATCTTACTTTCTTAAGATCCTTCATAAGATGGGATTATGAAAATATTTTATGGACTTCATTTATATTTTATATTTATCATGTTTATTTTTAATTTTATTATAGTTAATTTTTAAAATTCTATCGATGAAATATCATAAATAAATATTACAAATTTCAAATAATGATAATTGAGCCCGTTCAAAGTACGGGCTTCCCCTTTCTAGTGTAACACAGAAATATATTAGATTTCTATCTTATTTACATGGCGTCAAATATATTTATTTATATAATTAATTAATTTACTTATTTATTCGAATTTAATATATATATATATATTATCTTTTCGAGACCCTATTTATTGAATTGTGTTGGATATGTTATTGTTAAATTCAAAGTTAATGATTAGTGATTCATTAATACAAGTCAAATTCCGCGAAACTTGTTGTACTGGCTAGTTCACGAGACATAGAAATAGACAGAAAAGATCTAACATCGTGGATAGAATTTTAAAAAATCTCTTATCACACTATACTAATAGTTGAAACCTCATAAAAAATAAAAATTAAATTGACACAAAAATATTTTTGACGAGCTAATTTTTCAATGAATTTCATATATAGTAAAAACTCGATTTTATTAGTATATAAACTTAATTCCAAAATTATAACTTTAAACATCACAATCTTTCAACACCAAACATGTTATTTCAGTCAAGACATTTTTCTTTCCATGGTCCATGCTATATAATAGTCGGTTCTCCCTCTCTTTTTTCATGACAATTGACAATGACTTTTTAATTAGGTAGAAGTTTTTTACATAGTTTTATACACGGATAATATAAAAATAGATTTATATGAATCAGATAATTTATATCTTTTTAGGAAAGAATATGCAGAATAGTAAACATTTAGCATTATTAGGTACTATAGTTATTTAAGAAAATTATAATTCGCGGCTATAATTTCTTCAATTTTTGCTATTTGCCTAATTTGTATAATTCAGTTCCTAATTGTATAAATCCAGAATTTTGTATATGCTTACCCTAACTATTTGTATACGATTTATGAAAAATCATAATAAATTACCTTATTTGTCTATTGGCATGCGAAATATACAAACAAAATTTTGAAAAAAATCCTAAATGTATAAACACAGAATTTGTATATACTTACCCTATTTGTATATTCGCAAGCTTAAATATACAAACAGGCAGAAATTTACAAACCGTAGCCTCCTTAGCTTAGAGTTTTATTATGTCTATTATGTTTGCTATTTCTGAAATTTTTAGCAATTTTTATAAGGTAATTAAGAGTAAATTCTTGTGATAAGTAACAACTTAATTGAATAACAACATACAGACGTAAACTAGATAAAATATGGTAAGTCTAATAAGCATAGACATCTCAACATTAATTAAGTCAAATTAGACATTGTACTAATAAACTATTCCAACAATAGTACTCTTTTTTGTAGATACTGTTACATTGATCACTTCACTTAGGCATATATAATAAAATCATATGATTTTTTAAAATTCGTTAACTCAAAATTCTAAATTCATCTCTGTAGCGGGTTAGTAACTCCAAAGATTTTCAATATCAAAGTCTCTTGGTGAATACTCTTCCAAAGATGTGGAGTTTATTCTAGGGGGAGTTAGCATCATTGCCTCTGCCATATTCACAAGCAAACTTGGAAAATCAAATAATTCTTCCTCATCAACATATTCCTCCTCACCCGTAATCATTTGCGTATTTCCTGAAATTAGTGACGGAATCAGAAATTCCAATATGAGATTTTAAAAAAATACGAGGAAATGTCACACATGAAATTTGAATCGTAACCTAAAATAATATTTTAACTACCTTTGCTACTAGGGTAGAAGATTCCCTTTCGTTAATAGGAGATTCAACCGTTTATATATGTTCTTTCAATTCTATCTTACATACGTACACAGTTTTAGCATGTTTCGTAAAATAATATTGTATCTTTATATGTATCTGAAAATTACATAACATTTTACCCTTAATGACATATTTTATAGTTGTAGAAATGTCATTTATAGTAGATTTAAGATCTGCAAATTTCAAAAAGTTCTTTCTTCTTCTTTAGTGGCTATAGATAATTTTGTGAGTAGATTTTGAAATATGTTTGACCATGAAATTTGATTAAATTTAGGACTTCCACTCAGAAAACATTAAATTTTTACAAAGTAAAATGTATGTTCAAAAACTCAAATTTTCAAATTTCAAGTTTCAGCTATGAAATCTATGGTCAAACATGAGCTTAGACTACATATATTCATAGTAGAATAATGCGACATAAAATGAAATAAGGAAGTATATATTTATATTTACCTATTTGCATAGCATAATTTTCCGACAAAGAAGATTCAACTGAACCCTCTTCGTTACATATAGCTCCTCTCTTGCTTCCCGACCGACCATCGTCACCTCGTTGAGCCATCATCGTTGCCGCTGTGGCCGCGGCGTGACGTATATTGTCCGGAGATGGTGAGGGAGGGAGCTTTGGATAAGAATTGACAAGATGAGGAAAATTGAGTACAATATTCTGAGTACCCTTAAGAGCTAAGGCAGCAACATCATAGGCAGCAGCAGCCATTTGTGGTGTAGGGTATGTACCTAACCATATTCTTGTTGTTTTACGTGGCTCTCTAATTTCACACACCCATTTTCCACTTCTACAACGTATACCACGGTATATAGGATGTTTGGTATTTGTTCTTGCACTTTTTTTGTTGTCAACTAGAATTTTTGGTACTAATTGACCACTAGTATGTGAAGGGTTGGCCATATATATAAGTGTGTGGACAAATATGTCTATATATATATATACACTAACTGTCAGTGCATTGAAGTTAAACTCATATACACATAAAACGTGTGTGATAATAATATGTGTGGGATAATATATATTGATGACGTAATTTATGTACGTACTTTGCTAGTACACTTAAGTTAAACTCTTACGTATATGTGTGTATAGTTGTACGTGTAATGTACTTCTTACAACTCCCTCATTGCGCACGCACAATATAATATGATACGAGTTGGTTAGGCAGAACTCAATAGCTTTGAATCAAACTTAAATATGTGATGAAAAAAACTACGAAATATGTGAAAATATAGTAATTAATAAATTGTGAACCGAGTAAGATAAATGAATTGTAGGTTCGATGACAACCTAGAAATTGTTGAAATGTTGAATTTGTATTTGAATTGGCTAGACTTGTGGTAGTATATAAGTGTGATATTGATGTGTGGATATATCGATATGTAGAATTTTAACGTTTGTACACTGACGATATTGTAATTGATTTTTGCTCTGTCAGTGTATTGAAGTTAAAACTCTTATATATATATATGTATGTGTGTATGTGTTTCTCACTTTCTATAAATTATATGGGTATATATATGTATATGTTTTGCTAAACAAAAACACAAAAAAGTGAAAGCGTGGGCAATTCGTGGGTAAATTACTCCTAGTTATTTTGATGCGAGAGAATTGAACACGTATTTGGAAAAGAATTTAGATTTATATAATAGCTGTTATCTAATGTGTATTTCATTTTCATGCTGGCAATACATTTTCTCACACAACTTAGTGTGCAATTGTGTGAGAAGACTAGCAATGTCCCTGTATTAAGTAAAATGTTATTGTGAGTAATATTTTAGTCGTAAAACGTGCTTCAGAGTAATAGAGTGTAAAATATTATAGTACTCTTTCCGTTTTATTTTATGTGGCATTTTTCGAATTTCGAAATTCAAATAAGTCTATCTTTGACCGTAAATTTATCATAGATCTTTTAAACATTTTGAATTATCAATTATTGTGACTTATAGTACTTTTTGCGTAGTTTACAAAAATATAAATTATATTTCAAAAAAATTGAAGATTTCATGCGCAAATTCCCGGTCAAACTTAAACTGTTTGACTCTCGAAAAACGAAAAGTGTCACATAAATTGGGACAAAGGGAGTAACATTTTATGTATGTTTTTGTCAGATTTTTGTCATTAATTTTTTTCTGAATTTATGTTTATACTAGTATTGTAAATTTAAAAAAAAAAAAAACGTATTTTGGCGAATTGATTTTAATAATGGCTTATTTTGGTCAAAAGATACACATATAATATTGTTTAGCAGTTTGGTGCACAAAGCATCTCGCTTTAGCTAGAGAATGGGTGTCGCTCCCAAAGGAGTAATAATGTAGATTGTCTACCCTAATACAAACATTAATGGCTATTTCAATATAGGTCACACAAATACAAATTTATCGATACTTCAAGGATTGATGGGCTTTCGCATGTAAAAATGAAATGGATTATCACCTCATATACACATTTAAGAGTCAATATTACATGTTTTAAATCTACTTTTAAAAAATTCTTGCTTATAACAGTTTAATTACGAGTTATAACATATCACTAATTATTTATAAATTATTTAAATTTTACTTTATTAAATAAGTTATTTTTTATAATTTTATATTATTATTAAATTATTTAAATAAAGAATACCTCATAATTATCTCTTACACAATTATAGGGATTTACATTGATTATTGTTCCTTTTTTACAGTTACAAGTCACACCTACCCCATCTAAATCCCTCAACCCACGTCAATTTCACGTTAAAAAAAAACAGAAATTCATCTTTCATCTCTTTCATCCATACTCCATTGAAGCCGATTTTTCAACATCTAAAAACTGATTAGGAGAAATATATTCTCCATACAATCAAAACAAAAGGGCAGATCTCTAAGTTGTAATTTTCAATAATTTTAGTATTTTGGAGAAACTCCGTTTGATAATTGTATTGCAAGAAAGTTTATTTTACCATTTTCATGAAGGTGAATCAGAGGTGTTTTGAGGTTGATCGATCCTTTCTGGGTTTTGCTGATTTGAGTTCTTACTACGTGGGGAATGGTAAAAAATCGAATCTTTATTGATTTTGCTAATGTTTTTGGGAGATTTATGGCCATGTGTAGTGTAGATTGGAGTTTATTATAGGAGGTAAAGATATTCTTGAAACCTTATGTTGTTTGGACTCTTGGAAAATATTGCTGAGTGTGTGTTGTCCTCCAAAAGTTAATTGGGTTTTTTACTACGTGGGATATGGTTAAATCAATTTAGTAGATTTTTTTTGTTAAAATTGTTATATTATGCATATTATTGGTATGAAAGCTGACTTAATATACGATTTATGAATATGGTATGAATTTTGTCTAATGTTGGCATGAATTGGTATAAAATTTGGTATTAAAATGGTATAATGTATTACTTATATTTGGTGTGAAACTTGTTTAAACTGGTATGAAGTTGGTACACAGTTTAGAGGAAATCTATTTTGTTTCAAATTATTCTCATTCTGTCTACTAAACTGGCATGAAACATGAATAACATTGGTATGATAGCTGACTTAATATACGATTTATGAATATGGTATGAAATGTGTTTTAACATTGGTATGAAATTGATTTATTGTTGGTATGAAAGCTGACTTAAATTGTGTATTATTTTTATCAGAAAATGGTGTGATATCAGTGGTCCAATTATATGAATTGATTGTAGTTTGTTAAATCATCCTCTCTTTTTTTTGTGTATAAATTATGACTAATGTTGGTATGAAATTGATATTTTCTTATAATACCTATTTTTTTTATAATAAGAAGGTTTCTTTTTCAATTTCTCCAACTAGGTTGATGGCAATGCGGAAAAACAAAAAATGATGATGGCGCGATCAGTGAGAGTGAAGTAACTGGGACTGTTGCTAGCAAATTTGATAGATCCTGCATAGCAAAAGAACATGCTCCAGATACCAGCAATTATCCTACACCAAGACTACGGAGATCAAATTTGATATAGTTGATTGCAGCTTAGACTCTATAGTATTTCATGTCTTTTTAACTTTTGAATGATATATATTTATTTTTTATACAGTTTTAAGTATTGAATGATATAGAATATGCACTGTTTTCTTCAAGTCAGTTATCAACTACATATGAATTATAGATTGACTCTCATAATTTCAAGATTCTAGTTATATACAAACTGCATATCAATTGAATACAAATTTCTGGATATCAGTTATATACAAACTACATAACAATTGGATACATAAACAGTTTAGTTTTGATATTTAGTTGGAGATCAAAATGATCACCATATAATTGGTATCCAAACTGTATATAGTTGACATCCAATTATTCATAGTAACATTTATTCAACCTGACGGATCTCATCTACCACCATGTTTAATTAATATAGATAAGCAGTTGTCCATCACAACAAAATCAAGATTTTTCAAACAAAAAAAAACTTGATTTACTCGTCAGTGACAACAATTCTGTAAAAAAAAAAAAAACGAAGAGAGAGTAACATAGAAGAAAATGGATAAAATCAGATTTTTTAATTAATTTTAACAGACTAGAGTGAATTAAGGAAACTAAATATTCCTAATTAGTTTGAATCTCCTAAATTTATGCTAATTAATAATTATCATCAATCAATTCAAATTTTATTAATACACCTATTTCCGTTTTTTTTCTTCAAAATAGATTTATTTTCCTTTCTTTCTTTTTTTCAAAATCGATTTTTTATCCTTTTTTTTTTACAAAACAGATTTTTACAATTAATTAAAAAATCTTTTTTTATTTAATAAAATGTTACAACATGAAATTTTTTATTGTTACAACTTGAAAGTTTTATTCTACTGCTATAACTTCAAAATATTAGTCTAATAAATGTCATATATGAAATTTTCACTTTATAATAAACTGGTTTGAGTATGCTTATAACTATATAGCCCAAACTAATTGACGGGCTTTCTCACACCAGAAAGGCCCAACTATTTTTTTTAAAAGGCACAACACTTTATTAGTCAATAAACTGCTGCAGTTTTCATGATCTAACCAAATTATTTGGAGAAACTAAGTATATACCCCATGAAAGCAAAATAATTACAAACATATGTCAAGCCTGTCTATTTATGAATCCTCTGTTCATGAATCGGATGTGCGATGGGACCCCTTCCTTGATGAGGATTGCTAAAATCTACCCCTTTACATTCATACTCCACTAAATAATTATACTATATACCCCCAACTATTTTCGCTTACATGATACTAAATAAGTTGTCACGATCAAAAAATGGATGTGATGACACTCGTCTTATCCCACCAAAATAAGTCAGCCTAAACCCAAATATAACACGATAATAAGCGGAAGTAAAAATAAGGATGAAAGTTTAACACCAATATTAAAGCCGAATACAAAGTCAACTTAAATACACCCCAAAACCTGGTTGTCACGTGCACAAACCTCTAATATATACAATAGATTTGAAAGAAAAATATAAATCTCAAATGATGTTGTCACTAAAGTAGAACAAGATCCGCTGAGTTGACAGACAACTACCTCACAAATTTTCACAGAAAGTTTCGGACAAGGAGAGAAGAGAGTATCACAAAGATCCGGGCTCATAACCTACACAAATGTAGATGCAAGGGTGAGTACCAAACCACACGACAATCAGCAAGCGAACTCCTAAACACAACTTAAGAATATAGAATACGGGTACTCCTACCACAACAATATACATATACTCTTATAGTATCATTGACTAATGAGTAATTTCTAAACAAGAAACCTTAATGATACAACACAGTATATATATACTGATTTTGTATTAGTTAAGCAAAATTATAAGTCTTAATGATACTAATACATTATATGATACTGATTTAGTATCAGTTAAGCGATAATTATCAGCCTTAATGAAGGAGGATATGGGTTGTAATTATTCATGAGAGAATGAGTATTTCTTAAATTACTTTGGATTTGGGTATGAACGTGTAATTATTTTGAGTTTTGTGACCCATTTATGTAGTTCTTTTCAATTATTTATTATGGTTAAATATATAACATACCAAACAGAAAAATATTTTGATAAGATCTCTCTATGTTAATTTTCGCTACATGTCAGCCCAATATTTAGATTTGGTTGAATTGGACGAATCAATATGGATTGAATTCATGGACTAATTTTTGTCACTCTCTTACTCGTCCTGATTCGATATTATGGTGTTCAAGGCGTAGAAAAATCACACCAATATATTCATTTTTATTACTTTTTCAATATATTGAGTTGGGCTGACCTATATAGGCTACTTTAAAGCCCAAATAAGTTGTTCCAGTCATCCCAACTGAAACAACCTCCTAAGTCTAAACAAAACCCCAATTACAACATAAAATGTTCTATAAGTGTGCTAATACTAACTACCTCATGAACTCGAGCTGCAATTTCAAGAGTAGGGTAAATTCCTAGACATTCTTTTTTACCCACTAGGATCACGAACCTCACAAAACTCACTAGAATTTTACAAGCATCAAATCAAGTTATTACTCATCTCGAGGAAATTACTATTTTTTTTCTTTAAATGGAAAAGGGTAAAAACTACTCTTGAATTATGCAAAATAGACCACTTATACCCTCCATTACATTTTGAGATAAAAAAACACTCCGTCGTTATCCCAAAATACCACAAATACCCCCAAGAGCTAACTACCCAATTTTTTAGTGATGTGGCAAGCCACATGGGACTAATCCCTCCACCTAAGTATTGCCAACTAGGTTTCACTACAAAAGAACTAGACCTTTGGCGGCGATAAAAGACGCCACAAAATCCCAAAATATTGCCACTAAAGATTTAAGTGATTTTTAGTGGCGACTAAGGCTGCAACAACCATTCCCTAGTATAACTTTTTTTCCAACAAACAAATATATGATAATTAATTTTCTAAAATAAATAACATGCACTATCAATATTAAAAACATCCAATATGATTACGAAAATCATTAAAATTACTTCTTAATTCAAATCTCGTACTACATAATGCATCATTACATTTTATGCATTTACATATGACATAAAAATAAAACATATTGTGTCTTCAAACTCCTGCTTGATCGATATCATTTGTGATTTTTTAAAAACAATGAAGAAAAAACACAAAATTAGAATTTAATGTTAAAATTCAATCAAAATCTTTAGTGACGATATTATGAGCTTTTTTGGCGACTTGTGTTGCCGCTAAAGGTCTAGTTCTTTTGTAGTGAATCATAGTTGACAATGGTTAGGTGGAGGAATTAGTCTCACGTGGCTTGTCACGTCACTACAAATTTGGAGTGTTTACTCTTGAGGGTATGTGTGGTCTCTTAGGATAACGGCGGGGGCATTTGTGATCCCAAAATGTAACGAAAGATATAAATGATCTATTTCACATAGTTTAAGAGTAATTTTAACTATTTTCCGTTCTTTAAATAGTCGTGACGTTTGTAATAGTCAATAATATTCAAGCTTTGACTAGGAGTATGTTGTTGAATTATTAGTCGTGGAAGTTTTACTAGTTTGAGAAATTTGTGAAAGTTTGAAAGTATTATTTTATAGATTTTGGATTTTTTAAATTTTATTTGGGATATATTGGATTATGAATTAAGTAAAGAAGAAAAAGGAGGAAAATGTGGTTACGATATTGACACGCTAACACGGATTATTATTATTTTTTGTTCCTTGTGGGGTCTACTTCTCTATATATATATTTATTATATAGATAAGGGGTTGGTTGGTTTGAAGTATTTACTCCATATTAACAATTCTTATGTATTTATTCTCAAAATAGCAATTCTCGAATATTTTTTACTATTTCAAAAGTGATCTATTGATTCCATATTTCTATACCTAACAAAGATAAGAATACACTCACCTTTTTTATCCGATTTATAAAAATTTATGAAATATGTTATGAAATAATTCTCACATTATTAATCCACTAAAGAATTGATATATTAAAATCTTTTTATAATTAATATGTCAAACCAAACGATCCCTTATATGAATAGAAAAATGGAGAAAAAGACTAAATGGTTTTTTTCTAGTACATGGTTGAATTAAGTAATGACATGGAAAAAGGTATTATATGATTAAAAGAAATAGTTGTTATTCTATTCTTCTAGTTTCCATTTTGGGTTTAATGGAACAAGAAAATTTTTTCTCTATTACTCCCTCTGTCTCTAATTACTTGTTTATTTTGATAAATCAAGAAAGGACAATTTTTTTTTACCTATTATACCCTCAATTAAATGACTAATTACTTTGAAAAATGTAGAACTTTTCATCCACTTCATAATTAATAGGGGTAAAATGGTAAACTCACTATGTCATTAATTAATTTCTTAATAGATGTATCAATTCAAAAGTGGATAAATAATTAGTGACAGTAGTTTAATTTCCATTTTGAGGGTCAATGGGATAGAACCATTGTAGGGTTAATTCAAGACATGAGTCAACTATTGTAATCTCCAAAAAGGTGTGGCTTAATTCAATTCAAAGCTCTCCATTCACATTCTATATATACATTTTACTTGTACATATATAAAAATCGAGTAACATAAGTAAAATCAAGCATTTTAATCAATTTGGGTGTTCTCATCGAATTTGAGAATATAAAAATATAAAAGTAATTTCAATTCTTATTCCCTAAAAAAATAAAAGAAAAGTGTGATGGTGTCTATCTGTAGTAAAGTGACTGAAAGTGTGTGGCATACGTGTGCCGCAACCACGATTTGTTTCCTTAAACAACACAACTTCTTCTGTCTCATTGACTCAAACCGAAAGAAGAAAATAAACAAGAAAATTAAATTAAATTAATATTTTAAATTTAAATATTCAAAAATCGTACGAAAAGTTGACTGCCTATTTAAAATAATGTCTTTATATCGTAAGGTAGGAATAAGGATATGTACACTTTATAAGTAATCTTCTTCAAATATATTTACGAAATTATACTGAATATACTATGCAATATTATACTTTAAAAAAAAGTAAAAATTACATAAATTTTATAGTGTTAAGACCTAATTACATTTTATCCTACTCTTTTTTAAATTACAAAAATTCCTTAGAATTAAAGAATTTTAGATACATCATCAAATATGCGGATACCTAGGTCGCGATACATTGTTATTCAAAATCTGCAAATATATAGCTCACGGATGTATCCGAGAGGGAAGGGATGTATTCGATAGGAAATAGAAATGTAATAGAGAGGATAGAGATGTATTCGAGAGGGGAGGGATGTAACTGAGAAAGGATAGAGATGTATCCAAACTCAGTTGTGGATGTATCTGAGAGAGGATAAGGTTATATTGAGAGAGAATTTTTGTAATCTTTATATGAAATATTAGAGATTATGGTAAAATAAATTGTGTATTTAAATAATTTTTCGTAAAAAACACTATAAATTGATATCTTTTTCACATATACGATGAAATAAATATTTTAAAATATTAATTAAAACACAAGCAATTTGACTTAAAAGAAATAAAACGTGATAAACAAAAATCAACTGAATATATTTTTGAAAGTCTGCCAACGTAACTCACTACTTTTTATCAGTCTCTTTCTCCATGTTTATATTCATTCACATACAAGGAAGAAGAAATTGACCAATAAAACTTGTAGCAATCAAATAGAGTTACGTGTTCGTGTCTATATCGTAGCCATGTGATATCTTTTTCTTTACTTAAAAATTATATCTATAAAAACAGCTTTCATACTTTCACAAAATTCTTAAAACTTCCACAACCACACATTCAACAACATATACTCCTATTCATAGCACTTCACTCACTAGGAAGTTTGACTATTTCAAAAGAGATAAGCATTTTCCTGGAGATGAATGATAATAACTTTAGAGATCACTACTTGCACGAAACATCAACATCTTCAGGAGGAGTTCAAGATGAAGGAATATTTCTACTAGCTTCGAGTCAACCTAAGAAACGTGCAGGGAGAAAGAAGTTCAAGGAAACTCGCCACCCAATTTATAGGGGAGTGAGAAGGAGGGACAACAACAAGTGGGTTTGCGAGATACGTGAGCCTATTGAGCAAAAAAGAATATGGCTAGGGACTTACCCTACTCCAGAAATGGCAGCTCGAGCTCATGATGTAGCTGCATTAGCACTTAGAGGTAATCTAGCCACTTTGAATTTTGCCGACTCTAGTTGGCGGTTGGCAGTGCCGGTATCAAAGGATCCCGAAGAATTACGTCAGGCCGCTATGAAAGCAGCCGAAGCGTTCCTTCAAGATACTGAATCAGTTGAAATCAATTATATGAATCATGATTATAGTGAGGGAGTGAAGTGTCAAGAAAATATTGTTGTTGGTGGGGCCAGTGGAAGTGACAATAATAATAATTTGGTGGGTAATGAAGTGAATAACATACAAAATATGGAGATGGATAGCATTTTATGTTATAATAATAATTGGGGAGGCAATAATGAAATAGAGGGATCATCATGGCAAGAAAAGATGAGTGAGGGGCATTTGTTTTCACCAACTCCCCATTTAGATAGTTATTTCAGTTGGGATGATGTGGAAAGTGACGTGGAAGTGTCCTTGTGGAGCTATACTATGTAATTATTTTGTTCGGAGTTCAGTGTGAGTATCTGATACGAGTGCATGATGATATATAGGTTGAATTCTTCATCACATAACTTAAAGGATTCGAGGTTTGAATCTGAATCATGTGGATATGTGTGTTGCAATATGATAAAATAATGTATGCTATGACATATTATTTGGTAATTCTTTTAATAAATTTATTGAACTAAAATTAATAAATGTAATTCTTTTATACACTAATAATATATTGTTTATAAGATATTTCGTGTAATAGCATATATATTAATGTAAACCTACATAATCAAAATACTCAATTAATCTATACTTCTCGATCATAGATATAGTCAAAGTTTTCAAGATGAGTTTATAATATTTGGCGTGGACCCTACCCCCAACCTTTATTGCAGCGTGGCAAAATTTTTGAAGAATCCACACAACAGAGATACTTAATACTAATATGGGGGAATGGGGATCATCGAATTTCTCTTCACCAACCAGCTATTATGTGTATTATTTAATGGGTAATGCTAAATGGCCAGAAATTTAAAAAATCTATAATATTCTTTTTATTTAAAATAAACTAATATTTTTTTCATTAAAATGTACTAAAGTTAAAAGGGTAAAAATGTTCAAAAAGGTAAAATAACATAGTGTGAAATATGTTATTTTACCATTCTGACCAAATTTTCTGGCCAAAATGATTTTTCCTTAATTATTGACCGTATAGTAATTCTTATATTATTTATTCTCCACGTAACAATTTAAAATTGTTATATGATTAATCCCCATATAAATAAGGGAAAATTGTATATAATAGCAAACTATTAATTCAAATTAAATGCTATAAACATAGTTTGATTTAATTGTACCCCATAGCAAACTGTTGTTATGTCGCCTCTCTCCTGGTGAATCTCGCTCGCCACTTTCATTCTCGCTGGCAGTCTCCCTCGCCTCTCTTGCTTTTATACAAACACAAATGTATAAAATGAGTTTGTGTTTGTATAAAGCGAGAGAAAATTGTATATATACATATATTTTCGTTCCCTCTCTCCCCTCTCCTAGACCTCGCTCGCCACTCTCCCAGATCTCGCTCTCTCACTCGCCTCTCTTACTTTATACAAAAACGCAAATGTATAAAATGCATGAAAATTGTATGTATACATATATTTTCGTTCCCCTCTCTCAGATCTCACTCGCTCACTCGCCTCTCTCACTTTATACAATTGATTTTTTTTAATATGTATAACAAAGCAGATTATACAACTGCTTTCTTTTGTATATGTATAGCGTATACATATTTATGTTTGCTATGGAGCGTAATTATGCAAACTTTGTTATAGCATACAAATATGAATTTTGTGTTTGCTATATGTGAAAATTGCTCTATAAATAATCCATGTATTACAATCATCAATTTATATTTGTAACATTAAAGCTCGTGGAAGATGTGACTTATTATTATGAGTCGACTATATATTATATTCTCCATCTAATTTTATATATACTGATCCATGACATAAGATGCATTACGTAGGTTATGTATCGTCATTTTATTTTTTGTCTTTGTGCTTTTTCTTATTTTATCATTTCTAAATTAAAAATTAAAAGTAAGAAAATATCAAACCAATTACATCTTGTCTTAAATCCACTAAACAATATCTCTTTCATATATATATATATATATATAATGTAGGCAAATATTTATTTATTTATATTCAGTGTTTACACAAAATTAATCATAATAAGTTAATAACTAAACTATAAAAACTTAAGTAATCTCGGAACACAAATATAAGTAGCGGGGAATATTATAATATGTAAATATAAATTTATACCTCGTTAAAAAATTAAAAATCAAACACAAAATATCACCCGTGTGTCTCTTTCCAGAGAAGTCGACAAAGTTTATGTCCCCCATTGACCCAAAACATAAAAAGGAAAAGTAGCTTATTTATTGAAGCATACCCCACAAAGAAAAAGAAAAGTTGTACTTGAAATTGATTTCCATGCGTGTTCGTGTTTATATCGTAGGCACGTGCTTTCATTTTCTTTCTTAATTCATAATCCAAAAGTATATCAAAATTCTATAAAAACCACTTTCACAATATCAATTCACAACACTTGAAACTCCAAGAAAATCTGTAGCTTGTTACAGGCTGACACGTGTCTAAAAATGAATAACAACTCTAGTTTGTACTCGTCAGATGTCAACCCATTAAGTGCAACAACACCTTCCGATGAGGAAGGATTAATACTATTATTAGCTTCAAGCCGGCCCAAGAAACGGGCCGGAAGGAAGAAGTTCAAGGAAACTCGCCACCCAGTTTATAGGGGAGTGAGGAGGAGGAATAACAACAAGTGGGTTTGCGAGCTACGTGAGCCTAGTCAACAAAAAAGAATATGGCTAGGGACTTACCCTACTCCTGAAATGGCGGCTCGAGCTCACGATGTTGCTGCATTAGCACTTAGAGGTAATCTAGCCACTCTGAACTTTGCTGACTCTCGTTGGCGGTTACCAGTGCCAGCATCAAAGGACCCCAAGGACATACGCCAAGCAGCCGTTATAGCCGCACAAGCTTTTTCTCAGGATACTGAAGTCGATTATATGAATCATGAGGAAGTTAATTCCAATACTATTGATGAGATTGATATTGCGAGGGCTAATAATGGGAGTAGTAGTGATTTTAGCGCCAAGGAATTGAGTATGGATATGGAGAACATTTTATCTTGTAATTGGGGAGAAGATAACGACATGTTAGAGACGGAAGGATGGCGAGAAAAGATGGCCGAGGAGCTTTTGTTTTCACCAACTCCACGTTTAGGTAGTTGTTTCAGTTGGGATGACGTGGAAACTAGCGACGTCGAGGTGTCTTTGTGGAGTTACAGTATTTGATACCAACTAGCCAGTTAGTTACAATCTAGGAATAGCATTTTACAAAAAAAGGAAAAAAAGAGAATTAATAGTCAACTAGAATGATGTTATTATGTACATTGCAAATATATATATATTCATGTTACTATTTCCCTATAGTTGAGAACCAAAAAATTAAATACAAATATATGTCTCTGTATACGAATTAGAAGGTGAAATAAACAATACGATCGATAAAAGTATCTAAAAACAAAATTTCCCTTACAATAGGTAATACCTAACAAAAACAATTTTGTTCTAATTATTCACCATATAATAATTCTTATATTTATATTTGTAACATTAAAATTCGTGATAGAGATGAGTCAACTATTATAAGCTCATAAAAAGTGTGCTTATAATATATAAATTCATGACATAAGATGCCTTGCGTAGTTATGCATATGTCATCTCTTTTTTTTCTTGTTCTTTTGCTTCTTACGTTTCAAGAAAAGTATCATTACAAGAAAACAAGCTATAAAATTCATCAGTAATTTCGAGTTAATCAATAATAATTAGCCATATTGTAGATAAATATTTACTTTCATCTAGTGTTTATACGAAACTAATAATAATAACTAAACCATCACGTAAGTTTACTAAATTCATAATTAACAAAATTAAATTAAGCAAATACACATACCCATGTCATAAAAATTGCATGTTTCGCTCTTCAACTTTAATTTTTATCTTTTAACAATTAACTTAACTTGAAATTACATTGGGACATAACTTATGAAATATTATAATACCAAATTATAACTTATATGTAGTTAAAAGTTACTCCATTAGTCCAACAATAGTTATCCACTATTGACTTGACACACACCTTGAGAAACAATAAATAATAGAGATAATATTACTATATTAACCTTTGAATTTAATGCTTTAAGAACTGTATTAGATTTTGAATAATATTTAATAGTAAGGATAAAATAGACATAAAAAGAATACATTATGTCTTCATTATTTAAACTGAATAAGTATTGTTAATAACTATTTTTAATATAGTAAACAAATAAAAATGAACGGAGAAAGTATTTGCCACTGAGGGACAGAAGTGCAAAAGTTCCCACCAAGTGACATAGGAAGTGTGTGGTTCCCGTGTGCTCTTTCTCCTGGAACTCAACAGTGTTTCTGTCCCATTAACCCAAAATTAGAAAGGGAAGTTCCACCCACCCTCAACCCCCATACCCCACAATTTTTATGGAAAAATGAAAGTACCCCCATTTATTTATAAGCATGTAATAGCCTATCCGTTTCACTTTATTTGTTTTACTTTCCTTTTTAGTTCGTCTCAAAAAAACAGTCTCTTCCCCTTTTAGTAACTATTTGATTCTAACTTTCCACGTAATATGCTTAAAACAACAAAAATAAAAATATTTTACATTCTATATATTTTTAATTTATGATAGTAAAATTCAAAAATAAATTACTTTCTCTTATCTTATATATATATATATATATATATATATATATATATATATATAATAAGCCACAATGCAACTATTATTGTAACTATCTTGTTAGCTTTCAATCAAAAGCTAACAAGATTTTTAGTTACATATTTATTATTTAGTTAAATAATAAATATGTCATTGTATGAGCTATTTATTACTCATTCCTTTTGAATTTGTTAATTTTGATTTTGATCTGACACATAGTTTACGAAAGTAAATTAGATTTTGAGAAAAAACATTAAGTGATACTTGAAGTTATCCCAGATTTTCAAAAAGACACATTAACTTTGCGTGCGTCCTATTACCCCACAAAACATTCAAAATCACAATAAGTACACATTTTTTACACAATATTTCCACTTTGGACAAAAATATCCTTCGAATGTGCAATTTCTTAAAAATAAAAAATCGGACCCATTATTGATGTATTGAAGGATGCTTTGGTAATTTCCTATGATGAATTTGTTTTGTTTGTTTCTTTTAAATTTATTTTACTATACTAAATAATTGTATAAAATATTATGAATCACGATAATTAATTACTTAAATATTTAAAAGATATAAAAATATATAAAAGATCTGATTGACTCTTCAAATTTTACCGGTGACACATAAATTGGGACAAATGAAATAATATATATTATTTGAAAATTTCTTAGAAAGTATTATAAGTTACAATAATTAACAGCTAGAAATATTTCAAAGACAAAAAAAATTGATTGAATCTCAAATTTTTTTTAGTACTACATAAATTGAGAAAGAAAAAATGACCTCTATTATTTGAAAATGACGTAAAAGTATTACAAATCATACAATAAGAATTAACAATTTAAAATTTTAAAAGACTTTAATGTTTTATACTTATTCTATTTTCACTTTGGACAAAAATATCCTCCCAATATGCATATTTTTTTAAACAAAAAGTGGGACCCATTATTGATGTATTCAAGGATGCTTTAGTAATTTTCCTATGATGAATTCGTTTTGTTTGTTGTTTAATTTTTTTAAAATAATTGTATAAAATATTATAAATCACAATAATTATTTACTTAAATATTCAAAAGATATAAAAATATGTAAAAGATTTGATTAATTCTTCAAATTTTATCGGTGACACATAAATTGAACAAATGAAATAATATATATTATTTGAAAATTACTTAGAAAGTACAATAATTTACAGTAATTAACAATATAATATTTTAAAGACAAAAAAAATTGATTGAATCTCAAAATTTTATTAGTACCACATAAATTGAGAAAGAAGAAATAACATTTATTATTTCAAAATTGCGCAAAAGATATTACAAATCATACAACAAGAATTAGCAATTTAGAATGTTAAAAGACATAAAAAAAAATTTACCATAGTTAACAATAATTAAAATTTTAAACTATTTTAAATTAATATAAAAAATTGATTAACTCTTTAATTTTGTCTTTGTCACATAAATTGAAACAAACAATGATACATATTGGACCCGTGCTAGCACGGGCTCCGATGTCTAGTATATATATAAAAGAGAATATGAGCAGCTTAGAGTATTTAGTTATAGGCTTATAGCAGAGGACCCCACAAAGAAGAAGAGGAGTTGTTCCTTTCCGTGTCTATATCGTAGGCACGTGCTTTCACTTTCTTTCTTAATTCATAATCCAAAAGTATATCCAAAATCTATATAAACCACTGTCAAACTTTCACAAAATTCTAAACAAACAACTTGTAGTCATATCACAACACACTTCAAAATCTAAGAAAATCAGTAGCTTGTTATAGACTGACACGTGTCTAAAATGAATAACGACTCGAGTTTGTACTCGTCAGATCTCAACCCATTAAGTGCAACAATAGCTTCCGATGAGGAAGGAATACTATTACTAGCTTCAAGCCAACCCAAGAAACGTGCAGGGAGGAAGAAGTTCAAGGAAACTCGCCACCCAGTTTATAGGGGAGTGAGGAGGAGGAATAATAACAAGTGGGTTTGCGAGCTACGTGAGCCTAGTCAACAGAAAAGAATATGGCTAGGGACTTACTCTACTCCTGAAATGGCCGCTCGAGCTCATGATGTTGCTGCATTAGCTCTTAGAGGTAATCTAGCCACTCTGAACTTTGCTGACTCTCGTTGGCGATTGCCAGTGCCCGCATCAAAGGACCCCAAGGACATACGACAGGCGGCAGTTATAGCCGCACAAACGTTTACTCAAGATACTGAATTAGTTGGAATCAACGGTATGAATGAGGAAATTAACTCCAGTACTATTGATGAAATAAAGTATCAAGAGACTGATATAACGAGGGCTAATAATGGGAGTAGTAGGGATTTTGGCGCGAAGGAATTGTGTATAGATATGGAGAACAATTTATGTTGTAATTGGGGAGAAGATAACGACATGTTGGAGATGGAAGGATGGCAAGAAAAGATGGCGGAGGGGCTTTTGTTTTCACCAACTCCGCGTTTAGGTAGTTGTTTCAGTTGGGATGATGTAGAAAGTGAAGTTGAGGTGTCTTTGTGGAGTTATAGTATTTGATACTAACTAGCCAGTTAGTTACATGCTAGGAGTAGCATTTTACAAAAAGGAAAAACAAAAAAAAAGAGGAATAGTCAACTAGGATGATGTTGTTAGTTACAATTGTACATTGCAAATATATATCTTCATGTTACTATTTCCATATAGTCGAGAACCAAAATTTGCGATACCAGTCAATAAGGACATACGACAATAACACACCCACTATAATCCCACAAGTGGGGTGTGGGGAGGTAGGATGTACGCAAACCTTATCTTTACCTTTGTGGGGACCAGTCAACAAAGACATGCCTCTTCGAATTCCTTTTGTTCTTTTCGACACATTGAATTCATTTGTGTTGTAGTACATGCATCCAGCATAAGCATCCATCTCTTTGTACAGCCTACACATAATCTAATGCATGTATTAGATTTTTCAAAGTAGCATTAGCAACAAAAGATTACATATTACTTGTTCATTTGGAGCAAAAGTATTACTCAGCTTTCTTAGTGAAAAGAAGTGAAATTTGTTATCAATGCTAAAAGAGGCTTCAATGCAGTGGTTAGAGTGCAAGCACGTGGCGTGTAGATTAAAATCATAAAATTTCACTCCTAAATCAAAGGCTGTATACACCGTGAAATGCCCTGAACTTTCATTCTCATTCTCTCCAACCAAAAAAAGGAGAGTTTTTTCAAAAGAAAGGAGGAGATATCCGCTATTTCAAACTTTAAACTTGGTGAATAATCCTAGCTATCGTTTTCCTTCTCTACCTAAATCAGATTTAGCTCACTATACAGAAGTTGAACTCAGATAAGACACTCAAAGAGGAGTAGAAATTTCACTGCAACAACAAACTAAGCTGATAAAAAAAATCAAGTAGATTTACAAGAGAACTCATAATTATAAAGTATTTTCGCCTTTTCAGGGCGAATCTTCACTTACAATAGAAAGCTTAAACTCCATTTCTCTCAAATAAAACTGAAGGCCAGGTCTTTTTTGCTTTTTCTTTTTTTGTTAAAGGAGAAATCCATTTTTTTCAAGCTTCAACTTGGCACGTATGATCAGACTGATCCTCTATGGTTCACTAAACAGGATTTGAACTCGTGATAAAAGACCTAAAATGGAGTACAAACTTCACTGTGACTACAACTAAACTGCTACAAAATCGAGTAGATTTTCTAATCAAATGAGATTTGATTCACTAGCCAGGATTTGAAATCGTGATAAGAAAGTTTAAAAAGAATACGTATCTCACTGTAAGCTACCATTTGGCCATAGATATTAAATCAGAAATTGAAGATTTATTCTCAAAATATCTATTTCGCCATGAAATTAAATAAATCTGATCTTTAAATATTTTCAGTTATTGGTAGAAATTCCACTTCTAACTCACAAAACTTCGCATCTCCAAATAAAACTTCAAAAACTCAAATTTCAACTTCAAAATCTACGGCCAAACGAGAGCTAACTATAACTAAGCTGCTACAAATTTGTTCATAATAAAATTAGATTTGATTCACTAGCAAGGATTTGAACTCGTGATAAGTGACTCTAAAAAGGGGTATAAATTTCGTTCTAAGCTAGCAATTGACTATAGATTTTGGAGATTTGCTCTACATATCTTTTTGGCCATGAATTTGATAAATCTCTTCAAATATCTTCAGTTTTTAGACAAACTTTCACTTCCCACACAAAATTCATGTCCAAACGTAACTTCAAAAACTCAAATTTTCAAATTTCAACTTCAAAATCTATGATCCAACGGGAGCTAACTATAACTAAACTGCTACAAAATCGAGTAGATTTTCAAGTTAATGTGCAAATTTTCAACTTACAGGCCAAGGACACAACGATTGACTTCACGGCCTTTGCCGGTGCATTTTTCCGGATTCGGATCCAACTTTTCGCACCGGAGAAACGCCATATTTTCGCTCCGGCATCAACACCGCTGACGTCGGGATTTGGACTCCCTGTAGCATCCACCGTACTCGCCATTCCCCAATCGTTTTCCTTCTTTGTAATTGGAAATCTTCAGTATTTATATTTGGGCTATTTACTGGGCCGTACTGAAGAATGTTGAGCTAACTTAGGCAAATAACCCATTTTTAAGCTACTATATAAAATTTGACCCTTTTTTTAAAAAAAATAGTCAGTCCAAAAGTGATGGTACATAAATACTACAACATATTCAATGTAATCTCATAAAAGAAGTTAGGAAGAATAGAGTGTACACAAATCCTGCTCCTACCTCATGAAAGTAACAATTTAAGGAATGGGAATCGAACTCAAGAGCAATGGGAAGAGAAGAAAGATGTTTTATAAAGAATTATTGATGAAGATTTCTTAAGAAACTAGACACATCTTAAGTGTCTACTTCCACCTTGTCTGTTTTTCGTCGAGTTACTCGTGTTTCATCTCAAATTTCATCTCCAATATACTTATATCATCCATTAACACTGAAATCAATGTAGAACTCAATAGTCTAGCTTAGTCAAACCACCTATGCAATATAAAATGTATAAGTTACATAAATCCCATAGTGTAAGACCTAAATTACATCTTATTCCTACTCTTTTCTATTTTACAAAAATCCCTTAAACTATTAGCCATCCAGATACATAAGTTTCATCCGAATACATTAATTGTGATACATTATAAAACTTGTTTGTTGCGCTTAATATGGATATTAATATAAAATTGATTTTCTTTCCCATAAATCACACAGATCTAATTGATATCAATCCACTCCAATCTGTAACAGCTTGACAAAATTCAAAATTTAGATTTTCATCTTCTCCATCAATTCTAAATCGTAAAAGTTCCACAAGAGGAATTGCCCTTCATTGGGAAGTTGGCAATTGTGACAGCAGGCCAAGCCTTCACTCATCTAATAAAGGTTTATCATGAGGAAAATCTTTAGTTGGTTACGAATGGGATCTATTGATTTGTCCGGCGCCCCAATTATTGTGGTTTCTTCATCTGGTTTGTTGGTACACAAATAATGCTCTGTAATCCAATATCAACCGTTGCATTTACCGTTGTTGTGTGGAAATTCTTCTCGAGAAGGATACCTTGAGAGGATAATCAAGAACTCATGGGTACATCATGGGAGTGGAGGGATATAGTTATATAAGAAGAAACAGTGATTTTTCATACGGTGTTTGTGTCATTAATTCATTAGCTTCTTATCTGACAAAGGAATTATCTTTTGTATTATCTTTTTATCCATCTCCGGCCTTTCAACCACTTCCTCCACCATTCCCTCTGCCCTCTCCACCAGTGGTATATAGTTTTTTTTTAATGTATCATTGTTGTAGTTTTGTTTTGTCGTTTTGAAGTGAATATGTAAGTCATGATACATTAGTGGTAAACGACCCGCATGTATTGTAATTTTGTAGCTATAGATTATGATGTGGTCATTATTTTGTATCCGGATGTGATTTGTATAAAAATGTATCATCATAATATATTGTGTATGATACATGTAATAAATGGATTAACAATTGAGACGAATCAAATCGTTTTGATTATCGAGTGTGTGTATCACAGATTTGTATAATGTATCAGGTTATTATTGTGTATATTGTACATATAAATAGTGTAACAATTAAGATATGTAAATTACTTGTTTTGATCAAGACAAATGTGGATGATACATTAATATATATCAATCTTAGATTTTTGTGAATGGTTGTATCATTGATAATTTTAATTTACCTAGTAAATGTTCTAAGATGGTTACAAAATTGTGTCGATATGTGTTAGTTTTTGTTAGATAGGTGTTGGCTTTGAAAATTGAAAAGAATGTATTTCATATAATGTATCAACTGAATTTTTTAATGTTTGCAGATTGTTCCATGTCGTATGAGTTTTTATGTATCAAGATTATTATGGGTAATATGTACATAAATATTGCATTCTAAGTTGGATAACACTGAACAAATGTTAAAGAGTGTAGATACATAACACACAACTGATTTGTTTTTGTCTATATAGCCTTTTAAATTTGAATAAGATTGATGATGCAAATGATACATTAGGAAGTGTTTATGTATCAAGTACATTTATATTGAACATGATAAAACTAATTAAAGATTCAACAACATTAGAGTTATGTATCAACACCTTAAATATGAATATGATACATTGCATAAAACAAGGATGAACGGAGAATCATATGTATCAAGAAAAAAAGGGTAAAAACAAAAAAAATTGAAAAAAACGACAATGGAAAATATGAAAATGACCTAATTCAGTAGTTTAAATTTGATTGACTAGAGAGAGAATCCTTTTGAAATTCAAATTGAGATGAAAGTTGTAACTGATAAGAATGTGGAGTGAAATTGGGAGAGATTAAAGGAGTGAAAAGAGGAATGGAAAATGTGGAGTTAAGCCTAAAATACTTGTGTATCCAGATGACTTAAGAATTGAGTGAAAATAAGGGATTTTAGAAATATTTTAAAATGATAGGAAATAATAGAAATTATGAAAAATAAAGGTGTGTATATAAGTAATTAATCCATATAAAATACAATCTAAAGCGGTAAAAATATGAATACAATCGTATCGAGACATGCATAAATATGCTCAATATCAAACGCATACAAGGTAATTAGAACTTTTTGTAGGAATGATATCATTAGTCTTCCTTACTCTCATGTGAATTAAATGAATTTTTTTTAAAATAAAATTTCATCTTTTCATCATAATACTTAAATTGTCCTTTAAAGTTGAAAGGAAAAATAATTTTGGAAGTAAGCCTAGATTCCAAAGTTAAGGAAGTCCCACATAGATGGTATCTTCCAAGAATTTAGATTCCAAAATCAATGATAGTATCTTCTCGAAATTGAGTACTCCTCCGTTTAAAAAAGAATGATTTCCTTTCTTTTTTAATTTGTTTTGAAAAGAATGACATTTTTCTTTTTTTGGTAACATTTTAATTTCAGTTTTCCATGTGACATGTTTAAGGCCACAATATTAAAGGTCAATTTTGTATATTTGACATGTTTAAGGCCACAAAATTCAAAAAATTTATTTATTTTCTTAAATTTTGTGTCAAGTCAAA